CACGCTGTAACACTTACTTTTTNATATTTATTTAATAATATTATTTTAATAATATTATTTTTCGATAAATGTAATTATGCCGAAACATACCAAAAGCAGAGCGATTGGTCACCCCACAGTAACCGTCTTCACTAATCTACGTAACATTTTTTCAAAGAATTTTCATTTTAATGTTATTACGGTGTTTATTTTATTTTCATTTGTTTATTGCTCCGTTCATACATTACATGTGTTTATAGATGCAAGTGTCCTTAGCCTACAGTTACCTAACCGCATGACCTGCAGCTTCATATTATTTCTAATTCTCTATATATAATATATATATATTTCTCTATAATATATTCTCTACATATAATATATTTTCACGCTGTAACACTTACTTTTTTAACCTCTTGCACTACGATTTCGTTTACAGCTACGCCGATTAGCACTTTTTTGCCACTAACACATTCCTAAATGAGAAAGAACATTTGTATCGATTGCGTGCCGAGCGGTTGCTTCAGTGTTTAAATATTAACTCTTTGTGCACTCGAGATTATTTTCATCCCAGAATTTGTTTCAACCTATAATATTTCCAATGTGGTACGATTGTTTTTATTTGATGAAATTAAACGCGAATGCTTATAGAAGGCTTCTATTATTTGACAATTTATCGAATGCAGATAATGATGTGAAAATTCTTTTGAAAATAGTGTTGCAATCTTTATCGTCGCCTCGAAGTCGCCACTCGAGTGCAAAGGGTTAATAACAGAAGTGTAAAATTTCATCCGAATTTAACCCATTCGCATCTACAAACCGAATAATCCGAACGTGATAATCGTCAACGTGGACTTATTGATGATTTTATTGCAACAGAGATCGCGTAGCGTACCATCGACGTAATGATAATTAACTAATCTAGCATTTAATCTTAAAAATAGTTCAGCAATTAGTAATAGCTGGCGTGCGGATTATTTCGTTTGCGGATGCAGATGGATTGAAGGAAGTGTATAACATCTGCATTTAGTGGGTTATAACGAGTCCGACACGTTGTTTTAGTGCAAGTGATTAACTTCCTAATAAACTAAGTAGTACCACTCCTATTGCTAATCAGTTCTTTCTCGTTCCTAGCTTTATTGCTACTTTCGCGTTTCATTATTTCGCATATCTTGCCAATCTCGTAGATTTTTTTTACGATGCTCCCCGCCAGCACCTTTTGGATTTACCGCTCTAGGATATGTAATATTACATATTTCTTTATCCTATTTTCCAGGATATCTCTTCTTTTCATTGCTTTAACGCTGGAACAGTCGTGCATTAAAAGCGACTAATCTGTATTCCTTGTTAAAGACAACAACATCATATTTATCGTAAGTGCACAATTTTAATTACCATGTATAGAAAATGCGAAGAAAATTCTGTCCTTTTATGAAAAACGCTCCTTTTTTTCCTGCAAATATTCAGTTTCCAAATCTATCTTGTTTTTCGAATTCTTTATGTTTTTTTGTTAGATCTTTTAGCATTCTTCGTGTACGTTTCTATCGTCTTTCAGTCAAAAAATCAAACACGATAAAGAGCAGATTACAATGATTAAATTGCACAAGTGGAGAATGAAGAACGCCGACGTTGTTCTGACTGCCGCAAACGAATAAAAAGGGTAGAGAAACGGCGTTTAAAAGAACATCGCGAAAGAAGCGCAGCGTTGATTACACCTTTCCGGTAACTGTGAAATCCCATGCTCGTGGAAGTCCAGCTCTTTGTTGACAAAATATTGGATCAAAAGTTGTTTTTAGAAAAACGAGATTATTCTGCGAACAAGCCGATACGATACTTAACGTATAAATAAATTGAATATGAATGAAATAATAGTTTTGACATCGCATTAAAAGATTATATTTATTGCAGCCGCGCACGCACAGTGAGCTGCGGTCAGGGTCGACAATCTAGCAAAGGTCGTAAATCTTTGACTTCGACAGGGTTGCATGGTGGTGAGAAGCTTTTCTACTGATCGATGCAAATATGGATGATTAGAGATGAAAGTGGATAGATACCAGTGACGAGGATTGTGTTCGATTAATAGCGTAGTATACAGATTTAACCAAACTTAAACAGAATATACCAATTGTGTACAGGGTGTTGAAGAGAAGGGATGAAATATTTTAAAAGTAAATACAATAGTACTCTCGCCAAAATAGAAGAGAAACCTTCGTACTAAAATAACTTCTTAAAATGCAGCGTTCAATTTAATTGACTCTAATAAGCAATCATGATATGTAATTGATTATTTTTCTCTACCGATGTTTATTGATTTTATTAATTCATATTCTTGAGAATATAGTATTATACTCTTCGGCGATAAGTAACGTAGATGAATTTCGAAGACGAATTTTTTTGAGATGTGAAGCTTGCACGAAAATCGAAGGAATACACGTAGAAAAATGTACAGGATGTCCCAAAATTATTGTACAAGCGAGAAACGGAGGGTTTTTGAAGTAACTTTTTCCTTAGCGAAAATGCAATCCGCGGCTTCGTTTTCGAGTTATCAACGAAAAACAGTGGCCAATGAGTGACGAAATTATATTGACTATAGAAATTTATAAAATCCATGATCATCAGAGCACCTCTTGTTCTTCTATTTAACGAGTACTATCTACCTTAAAGTATTTAACGCTTTCTCTTCGCCCTGTACATGTATGAATCGTAATAATAAAGTACGAACTCCACGGTCTCGAATGCGTGAGCGACAGCGATTCGGTGCTTGTACGATCGAGAATGAATCTACGGCGGTGTTTTCCCGACAAGGAAAACCCCGAGAGTCGATACTTCTGTCTGATCGGTCAAATGAAATGAAATGAAGTTAACCAATTAGACGATTTCTTTTTACGGCACCGACCTATTCCTTGCGGACCAGGGGTGCTGTTATGGAGGGAGAAGCCGTCGCGTAGCAGAATTTGGCGCATGTCGGAATTTCCGCCAAGCTTAGTCCTCGGGGTGCCCCTGGTCAGTGACCGCTGGGTCCAGCCTCGAGACCCCTTGGAAATTCACGTTTGTCATGTACAATCAACTGTTGACATCGTGGAAAAGAATTTGATACTGTACACTCCGAAACAAAAAGATAGCACAGTCGTGCTATTTCTAACTTCGCGTGTTAAGATTATGTTATCGTCGAATCTCTGAGTGGTATGTAAAACGTATCTTCTACGAATATGTAAACATAAGATATAGGGTGTCCCAAAATTATTGAACGAGCGAGAAATGGGGGGTTCCTGAGGTCATTTGAAGTAACTTTTTCCTCAGCGAAAATGCGATCCGCGACTTCGTTCACGAGTTAATGACGAAAAACGGTGACCAATAAGAGGCGAGATCGCGAGCGGTCGAAGCCCCAGTTCCGCTTATTGGCTCGGCCGCCTCGCGTCAGCTGATCTCGCCGCTCATTGGTCACTGTTTTTCATTGATAACTCGTAAACGAAGTCGGGGATCGCGTTTTCGCGAAGGAAAAAGTTACTTCAAATGACCTCGGGAACCCCTCATTTCTCGCTTATACAATAATTTTGGGACACCCTGTAGATTGAATTTACTCCAAGCAGTTCTCTACGAAATAGAGGGACACGCAATTCGCGAGGCATGAAAAATGATAACATACTATAACTGTGTTCAAATATTCGTCGGTGTTCCATGAGCCTGCTCTGAGTTATTGCAGTGTTATATAGGGTGTATATTTCATCCTGCGCGTTCAAATGTCTTCGTTAATTTTGTTTATATGATAAAATGTGTCGTAACAAATTCGTTTGGTTCAAAGGTAGGAATATTATGATTTATTGGTTTTTTTTCTTTCGAGATCATTTCTTCCGAGTTTCGAAAAGGTCGTACCGTCGTTTCTGTGAAATTAATCTAACGGCATTATCAGCAAATTCTCATTAGGGAAGGGTCTACGTAGGATATGCACGAGGAATGCCACGTCATTTTTCATTTTTTCTATACTAAGTAATGTGTTCTATACCTATAATACAATTCTGTAAAAAATTTCAGACGTTTTCGTTTAAGGATAATTCGAGACAACCGGCTGTCTCAGTTGTTGCTTATGAAATTTAGATATAAATAAACGAAAATACAACTGCAAACTTGCTTCAGTTTTTTAGAATTTTAGGTCAGTTATTAAGGGTTGAAAAAACATAATATTTATTCTTCGTAGCTGGTTTCCACGAACAACCCTTTCATTGACCATTATTAACGAGTTCTGGCGAACACAAAATTTTTAATTTCTTTGCAAACTTGTAAATAAATACTAAGATATTGAGGTTATATTATATAACCTATGATATGTAATATATGATAATAACAATAACAATGATAATGGTAATAATAGTAATAGTAATAGTAATAAATAAAATAGTAATATTAGTAATAAAATAATAATAGTAATAGTAATAGTAATAAATAAAATAGTAATATTAGTAATAAAATAATAATAGTAATAGTAATAGTAATAAATAAAATAGTAATATTAGTAATAAAATAATAATAGTAATAGTAATAGTAATAAATAAAATAGTAATATTAGTAATAAAATAATAATAGTAATAGTAATAGTAATAGTGATAATAATAATGATGATAATAATAATAATAATAATAATATATAATATGTTTTTTTTATTAAATTTCGAAAACAATAAATAGTATTTTAATTATTACGATTTTATTTAAAATCGCCCGCAACTCCACACTATCATTTCTACCGAAAAATAAAATGGATCGTTCTAGGATAAAAAAAAAATTCAGGAGCGACCTATCACGTGTATCCATTATTGATAAAAATGTCAAGACAATCAAATTATTAATTTTCCAAAATTCTATTCTAAGCAAAAAACATTGCTTACCACAAGAGAAAATAAAAAACAGCGCAATGGTGAATATTCCTCGTGCTCGCATAACGAAACCCTTTCAGCGACTCGGAATCAGAGGAAGAAGTGACCAAGAAGAACACGAAATCAAAAGAGAAGAATATAAATGTTGACTCACGCTGGCTCGCCGTTCTGCTCCAAATGCACCACGTTTCCGCTCAGAGTCTCGATCTCCTGGGGCCGCTTCACCACGTGCATGCCGGTTTTCTCCCGCGGCGAGGACACACCCCTCACGGTATCCACGCTCACCCCGGTATCCGTGGTTCGCACGCTGTCGATCGACTCGACCGACACACCGGCGGACGACTTTTGGGAGGTACCGCTCCCGTGAACGCTCGTTCGCGGTTTCACCCCGGCGCTGTTCACACTTCTCGACCCGTTCACTGCACCGATCATAGCAGACACGTTATTCGCCTTCGAGCCGGTCGATTGATCGCGAACCACGTTCACAGAATTCGCATTTCCAACGACCCTCGTTGCTTGTTCGTTCGCCAGCCTCGGAACGTCTCTCGCCTCCTCTTGCGCCGCCATAGTGTTCGCGGCTGCAGCAGCCCCCTGTCTCGGCAGTTCGTTGCTCGACGAATTCTCTACCGGTTCGGACAGCTTGCTCGTGTTCGTTGCCGTCGACGATTGCAACGCGGCCGACACCTCGATCCTCTGGTCGCCGAGCTTCGAATTCCTCGCGGTTTGCTCGTTCGCGGCGCTTTGGTTCTTGCCGGGTCGTTGCGTGGCGGAACCGTTGCCGGTCGTCGCTCCGTTCGCTTTAGCCAGGTTCTTCGCCGATTGACCGACGCTGTTGGTCTTCGAGTGGCCGCCGACGGATTCCGGAGGCACCGGCGACTCGTTTCTGCTCTCCGCTCCACCTTTCGTTCGGCCGTAACTGTTGCCCGCCGGCTTGCTGGACCTGGAGGTCTGGGTGTTCGTCGAGCGTTGATCCTCGCCGGCGTTGCTTATCGCTTGTCTGACGACGGAATCGTCGGTCGACGAATTGGAAGATTTGCTGTGAGGCGGGTCCGACGGGTTTCTCTTCTCCGGAGCATCTTTCTCCAGCAGGATCGCGTTAGCGTCTATGTGCAGCGGCTGGACGGCCGTCGTCGCGGTGGTGTTCACCACGCTGGACGTGCCGGTAGCACCGGAAGATTGCTTCAGCAGGTCTATCAGCTGGAAATCGCGGGTTCGATCGCTGCCGGACGAGTTGTTCTTGTTGCTCGTGCCGGACTCCTTCGAGCCCTCCGAATTCGGTGTAACGCTTTGGCCTTGGTTCCCTTGGTTCCCATGGTCGTTGCCGTTTCGAACCTCCTTGCTACTCGCTCTGTCTCCGGCTCGTTTGCCCTTGTCGTTCGGTTGATTCGAAATGTTAATGAATCTGGCAGGGTTCAGTGAATTCGTGCTGACTCGGTTCGCCTTCAGAGGGATCTTCGACGGCGACGTTACGCGTTCTCTGCTCGAAACTTTGTTGGAGACGGAAGCTTTCTCTTGATTCGGTTTCTTCGAATTCCAAGCGTTCTTCGCCGGCGACGTTCTCTGGGACTTCAACGGCGACGATCTTGCGACTTCCTTGGAGCGATCCCTTCGACCGAACTGCGGCGTTCTCTCCGGTTTCGTCGGTGTGCCCTGGATAGGCGACAGTTTGCTGGGTGTTTTCAACGTCTGGCGACGAGCGGAGAGGTTCGTGGTGCTGTTGCTGCTGCTGCTGCTGTTGTTATTGTTCCCAGGCGCGTTCAAGCGGTTTCTCGAGTCGACGATGTTCGAGCGGGACCGCGAGTTCGCGCGACGGACACCCTTCGGCGAGGCTAGATACTCGGTCGACTTGCTGAGGGACGTCGAACGCTGGCGTGTTGGCTGCGGTATCAGGCTCCTTCTTGGACTGCTCTGCTGGGACACTGAAACTGAGAATCGCGATGGCTACGTTTTAACTGTTATTAATTATTGTACAGGGTGGTGGACCACGAAGCGTAGATTATTCTGCTGCCAGCGGTTCGAGCGAAAATTGTTTGTAACTGAAATGACATGCTTCAAATTGAGCTTCAAGATCGATTCTGTGGCATTTGTTGACCCTTTCTTTCCCAGAATTTTCAAGGCCGTCTTCAGTTTATTTTGCAGGTAAATTTACAAGTTTTTTAACACCTAGGCGGCCTGTTATCTTCGATGGTGTTGGACACGTAGGAGGATAAAAAATGATTCAACTAGTAAATAAAAATTACAATCGATAATTTATAGTATTAGCAATAATTCTCAACCCCTGTTTCTAGTATCATAATTGCAGTAACTTTGATATAAACGCAACTCGCTCAACAGTGACCGCTGAATGTTGGTTATTGGTCGACCAATGCAGGATGTGAATATAAGCTAACGATTTACCTTTATTGAACTCAGAATAATATCGTATAGCACTTCTTTAGTTTTCTCTAAGTGCCTGCTGTTACTTTCCGAAGAAATAAATATAGCCTTCTATTTAAAAAAATTAGAGATTGACCTTTAGATCTCCTGTACCACTACACTCACAGGAAAACAATTAATACTACACGACGTAGCCTGTCCTACCAAACAACTTTTGCAGGAACATTTTTTTAATAACTATAACTCCTTCCGAGATATTCTGCTGTACTCGCTTGAACAAGACACCCTGTATATCATTGTTATATAATCATTATTGCATACAGTTATCATATAATCATGTATCGTTATTGTATGTAATTATTACATAATAATTATTATATATTATTATTATACAATCATTATTATATATCATTATTATATTGGCTTGGCAACTAAGTAATTGCCGATTTGTTCAATGAAATACAAAATTTTATATATTATATCATATCATATTAATATATATTATAATATATTATATATTATATCATTATTATATTGGGTTGGCAACTAAGTAATTGCCGATTTGTCCAATAAAATACAAAATTTTATATATTATATCATATCATATTAATATATATTATATATTATATATATCATATTAATGTAATTATATATATATTATATATTATATCATTATTATATTGGGTTGGCAAGTAAGTAATTGCCGATTTGTTCAATGAAATACAAAATTTTATATATTATATCATATCATATTAATATATATTATAATATATTATATTAATATATATTATACAATGACACCTTTAAGATTGACCAATTCTGGTCGCTTCTCCTTGACCGCTGCATTCAATTTGTCCAGTCCAATATTCGCGGATAATAAAAAATAACATAATAATAATAATAATAATTTTATAATACAACATTCACGTATATCATAAAAACGAGAGTGAGAGACATCTACAACCAAAATCGACAATTACTTAGTTGCCAACCCAATATAATAATTATCGTTTCCTTCGTTTTCCGATAATATCTTGTGATATTTTTATACAAAAGTAGACATTATCGCAAGATATTATCGAAAAGCACAGTGACTTTATGGAAATTTCGGCGGCGCGTGGTAGATCTTACCTCGCCGTTCGTTGCGACCCCTTCTCCGAGCGTCCGCGTGATCCGGCGATTGAGGCCTCGACCTCGATCGTGGTGGCGGTCCCTTGAACCCCCGTCCACGGAAGGGCGAGACCCGACCGGTAGCCAGAGTCGGCGACGGGCTCCTCGTCTGCGGGGAAGCCGGTCTCGAGTCAGCGATGATCACGAAGCTGGATCGCCTGTGCGCTCTAGATGACGACGTCGAGGACGACGCGATCTTGTAGGGCTCGGGTGCACGCGGTGGCGGCGGTATCGTTGGGGCTGACAGGTAGTTCCCATCGGGAGCACCCATCCCGAGCACCCTGAACGGAGGCGGTCGTTGAGCATGGCCGTTGTCGATCCGCCTCATCCTTTCGAGGCCCCGAAGCTGCAACGTGAATACACGATTTACGGTGTACGGTGTGCATTAGAGGTGGAGAACTATCGACAGTCATCGACTGCTTTCGATATTTTACGAAAACAATCGCCGACTATAGAGAGATGGTAGTTCAGAAATAAGTTCTCTGTCTTTAGAAGCAACACGAGATATACGTACAATATAAAGTTACAGAGACACGAAAATTTGAAAGGACTTTGAGAAATAGAAAAGTTTTATGTTACATTCTTTTCGCAATTTTATTAAAAATTCAATAATATAATATAATATTGTATTATTGAATTGAATAATAATTGAATAATTGAATAATATAATATCAATATAATACAAACTGTCTCTTATACACATCTAGATGTGTATAAGAGACAGGAATAATAATTGAATAATTGAATAATATAATATCAATATAATACAAACTGTCTCTTATACACATCTAGATGTGTATAAGAGACAGGAATAATAATTGAATAATTGAATAATATAATATCAATATAATACAAACTGTCTCTTATACACATCTAGATGTGTATAAGAGACAGGAATAATAATTGAATAATTGAATAATATAATATCAATATAATACAAACTGTCTCTTATACACATCTAGATGTGTATAAGAGACAGGAATAATAATTGAATAATTGAATAATATAATATCAATATAATACAAACTGTCTCTTATACACATCTAGATGTGTATAAGAGACAGGAATAATAATTGAATAATTGAATAATATAATATCAATATAATACAAACTGTCTCTTATACACATCTAGATGTGTATAAGAGACAGGAATAATAATTGAATAATTGAATAATATAATATCAATATAATACAAACTGTCTCTTATACACATCTAGATGTGTATAAGAGACAGGAATAATAATTGAATAATTGAATAATATAATATCAATATAATACAAACTGTCTCTTATACACATCTAGATGTGTATAAGAGACAGGAATAATAATTGAATAATTGAATAATATAATATCAATATAATACAAACTGTCTCTTATACACATCTAGATGTGTATAAGAGACAGGAATAATAATTGAATAATTGAATAATATAATATCAATATAATACAAACTGTCTCTTATACACATCTAGATGTGTATAAGAGACAGGAATAATAATTGAATAATTGAATAATATAATATCAATATAATACAAACTGTCTCTTATACACATCTAGATGTGTATAAGAGACAGGAATAATAATTGAATAATTGAATAATATAATATCAATATAATACAAACTGTCTCTTATACACATCTAGATGTGTATAAGAGACAGGAATAATAATTGAATAATTGAATAATATAATATCAATATAATACAAACTGTCTCTTATACACATCTAGATGTGTATAAGAGACAGGAATAATAATTGAATAATTGAATAATATAATATCAATATAATACAAACTGTCTCTTATACACATCTAGATGTGTATAAGAGACAGGAATAATAATTGAATAATTGAATAATATAATATCAATATAATACAAACTGTCTCTTATACACATCTAGATGTGTATAAGAGACAGGAATAATAATTGAATAATTGAATAATATAATATCAATATAATACAAACTGTCTCTTATACACATCTAGATGTGTATAAGAGACAGGAATAATAATTGAATAATTGAATAATATAATATCAATATAATACAAACTGTCTCTTATACACATCTAGATGTGTATAAGAGACAGGAATAATAATTGAATAATTGAATAATATAATATCAATATAATACAAACTGTCTCTTATACACATCTAGATGTGTATAAGAGACAGGAATAATAATTGAATAATTGAATAATATAATATCAATATAATACAAATATCTGCAATAGTAAATATTTTGTAAGTTGATTTTCTTTTAAAAAGTGAAGGTGTCGATATTTTTTGGTGTCAACCTTGTGACCATCCGTCGGATATTATTAATCCTGCTTTGTTAAATATTCTTTACGACTCTACCAAAGATGCCGGTGTGTAAAAATATTGTTTATACAACTCCTACAAAGAGTTTAAGGCATTTCCATTTGACTATAAATAGTGGAGGCATTTCGATAAATGTCTAGAAATTCGTTGAAATTACCTTTCGATATATTGGCCACCCTGATCGGAACTACCGATAACAAGAGAAACAATCGATAGCTTTTAATGAGAAAAACTATCGACGACTGTCGATAGTTCTCCACCTCCGACGTACACTGGCCCAAAAAACACTCTCTGATCGAACACTGACCGAACTCGCTAACTGTCCCCGTACGTGTGACGCGAGCCATTTGCGTTTCACCTATCCCTTCGTTTCTAACTTTCCCTCAGCCCCCACCTTTTACGCTAAACATCATCCTTTAAGGAAGCAGGCAGGACAATTATGGGATTTCCGGTTTTTCCTAGCTTGCGTCAGTTGCTACATTTCGCATCGGGCCTGGTCGATGTAGCAGCAAACGAAAGAAATTATTTAATAATCCGGGGACAACAAAATATTTTAATGTTTACCGAACTAATTCATTTTCATTTTATCAAGACCGTTTGAACGAGTAGTCTGAAGTAGAATATAACTTTATTATATTTTACTAATTTTTTTAACACGTACCACGTGTGTACTGATTTTCAAATCATTTTTCGTTTAATGTAAAGGGTTAAAATCCGTAGATCGCTAAACTTGAAGTTGCCTTAGCAATGTACAGAGTGGCACAGTCATTTAACTCGAGAACATTATCATTTATCTACATGGAATTATTTTGCTAAATATTCAGAATTTTTTTATCCAAATGTTTAGTAACTCGTAAATTAGCAATCGAGTGCCCAGATACCCGTTTACTATAATTTCTGGATTGATATAGCATCGATGTAGTATTGTCTAAACAATAGACATTCAAAGCAGTTCTATGATATAGTTGAAAAACCATAAAGAATGATGATTAATTAAATAATAATAAAGAGAAAAATAATAATAATAAATAATAATAAAATTCATGGTTTTTCAAGTATATCATAGAACCGCTTTGAATGTCTATTGTTTAGACAATAGTACATCAAATTGTAGTTTCAAGACAAGAATTCTATGCAAACAATAT